GTTTGGGATGGGGTAACTCTAAACCCTCTAGGAAGTAGACAAGTTGAACAAAGCCGTGCATCCATTGATATATCCACAGACTATCCCTGATTCTGAGAGGGCACTGGTTTAAGAGGTTGAGATTGAGTGAATTAGACTAGGTGTATATTTTATTTCAGACCTTTTATTTGTATTTGTGGATGGTAATTATAACTTTCTCAGGATAATAGAGAAATAATTTTTAGCACAATTAGTAGTGTTTAGAGAAGTAATAACATCTTATCTTTAACTGCTTATCCATCTCTATCAGCCTATTAAGATATTCCCTTTCTTTGACAGTCCCGCCTAGAGGGGTATGAGTATTGCAACCGCCACATTCTGGAGGACAAGGGAGCCCCCTTCCGACAATGCAATTACATTTTCACCAGTACGGGCAAGCGCTGCCTCCGCCCGGCACCAACCACAGATAGGAAGGAAGGGTGAGTTGCAAAAAAGGTTTTCCTCGTATGTATTTTATATTTTAGTGGATTTAGCCATTAGTGAGAGATAGTGAAAGCTGCCCTACACATTCCACCTGCAAATTCAGATAAGCTGTGATTAACTAGAGAATTTTAACCTTTATTTGGGAAATAAGTCTTGAATAATGTTTTGCTATATGATCAATATTCATTTTTTTTTTGTGTGTGTGTGAAGGAATTCTTTAATATCAGGCTTCAGTAAAAGGTGGCAGTTTCCTTTGTACATTCAGTAAATGTTTTTTGACTGCATTTCCATAATTTTCATATATTGTTCACCTATAAGAAAATAGCTCACATGAATGAACAAAGCAAGTAATTCACAACTTGAAAAGTAAAAGAAGAAATAGCAAGTCTTGATATGTATTTCTTTGTCTCACTTTGATGTCATTTAAACTGGTAAGTCAGTTTGGATATATATATTGTATTTACTGTAGATTAAGTTTTTTATTCAAGACAGAAATTCCATTTTGCAGCATTGTCCCTAGTGTAGTTGTAGTTTTGCAGTTAATTATTCAAACAGTAAGTAAATTTTGCAGGACTGTCATTAATGTTGCCATGATAACTTCTTATAAGGTGTTACAGCATTTACTCATGGGAAATGCACGTCCAGCAGGTACTGCAGTGAGCATTCCCGCAAATCACTGATGGTGCGGCAGCGAGCAGCTCGAAAGGTCCAGCCCCGCGAGACCCCTGAGACTTTGCTTGCCCAGCTGGCCCACCATCAGATGGACACACACACAGCGGGACAGAATGGTAAGGAGGAGGACATTCTTGCTTGGCTTCTATTGGGGAGAATGTTACGAATCATTATATACTTTTTTTTCTTTCTTTTTTTTATGCAGACACGTAAAAGAGGATTGTTTTTATGTTCTGTATGGCTTTTCAGTGGGGCAGAATAGCAACAATGGTCATGGCTATATAATTTATTTTATTTATTTATCAATTTATTTTTTTATTTATTTTATTGATTTATTTTCTTTGGTTGGATAGTTGGTTTCTATAAACACACAGGCACATGCACACACACACTCACACTCACACTCACACTCACTCACACTTACACTCACACTTACACTCACATTTACACTCATTCACACACACACACACGCAATCTTGCATTATCATATTCTCATGTTCTCATTCTCATGTTCTCACTCACACTCTCACTCTCACTCTCACTCTCACTCTCACTCACTCTCACTCTCACTCTCACTCTCTCTCTCTCTCTCTCTCTCTCTCTCTCTCTCTCTCTCTCTCTCTCTCTCTCTCTCTCTCTCTCTCTCTCTCTCTCTCTCTCTCTCTCTCTCTCTCTCTCTCACCACGCACGCACTCACGCACGCACGCACGCACACACACACACACACACACACACACACACACACACACACACACACACACACACACACACACACACACACACACCACACACACACACACACACACACACACACACACACACACACACACACACACACACACACACACACACACACACACACACACACACACACACACACACACTCACGTCACTTCACTCACTCACTCACTCGCTCACATCACTCACTCACTCACTCACTCACTTCACTCACTCACTCACACTCACTCACTCACTCACTCACTCACTCATCTCACTCACTCTCTCACTCACTCTCTCACTCTGTTCAGTAACTTGCAAGATGTTCAAGATGTGTCTACAAGGATCTCCCGTCCTCCCTTCTATTTCCTCCCAACATATGTTAGGTGGATCTATAAGTGGTTGTGCATGCAAATTGCCATGACCTAGTTGCAGTGTGGAATAAGATAACCATCATCTTTTGTTCCTCCTAACTCTCTTTTGCATGAATTTAAAATTGCTAGCATTACCAGCCACTTCTACCAGTGTTCTACACTGTAGCTTCTTTGTGTACATAAAATTTCTTTGGAGGTATGATGTTTAAATCCTAGATTCATCCAGAGTGCCTCAACTACCTCAGTTTGCCATGCCTCAAATTTGGTTATATTAC